CCTATTGGTTCAGCTCAGTGTCCCTGAACCACTTTCCCACTCGGCTGGTCACCTCTTCCAGTCAAGTCTCCTATTGGTCCAGCTAAGTTCCAAGCTATCTGAAAACCCTTGACAACGCCCCACTTTGGGCACTTTATTCAGTTTACTGGTTTAAATTGCTAGGTTGATCGAAACGATCGAACTTGTAAAACAGTATGGGTATACTATTTAATTAATATAAAGGTTTGATCCAACTAATCTGGTGTCAAAGTCACTCTGTCTTTTTTCGTTTTATGGTTTTTGTTCCTTTTTCTATTCTTTTTTGGTTTTTGTTTTGCTTTTTGTCTTTTTGCTCGTGTTTTTGTCCCCCTAGTTGCCCCCCTTTACTCGGTTAGCTAAGCCTCGTTCGGAGAGCGTACCAGGAAATTTTCTCGAGTTTTCTTAAAAAGCTATCACGGTACAACCGGAAGGTTTGCACGTTCCTGTCGAACCGTACCGCCGGTACTCTAGAATGGGCATTCAGCCCGAAGCTGTCTCAAGTGGGTTTGACTCCGTAGTCTTGATGTCGTAAACACCCAGGAGCGCCATAAAAACACTATGTAACATTCGTCTACTGCAGTCACACATGAGGCTTAAGAAAAATAGGCCCTATAACCACTGGCTCAAGGGTCAGGGACACTATCTCTTGTGTTTTCCCACCTCAAGAACGGTCGGAGCCAGTTCGGTTCGCTTATGACATGAGACTACGACCCGTTACAGCTTAAAGGCTACTACTAAAATATCCCCCCACTCTAGAATTAGAAACGTCCCCATACTTAGGTCTCTAGATACCCAAAATACATGAACGCCGTTAAAAACCGGGTTGGAACAATCCGTTAGGTTACTTTTTATTAGACAGTGTGACTTTGATCCATTTCAGATGGATCAACCTAAAACTCGCCTTATCTCAACATAACAATCATAAAACACACTCTAGAAATTAAATTTGTACTCACATAGCAGCACGCTCAAGAATTGGGAAAATAATCCAGTCAGTAACTAACTCAAGAAATAAATGACTAAGAGAAGTTTAATGTTTTATAGTTTAGACAGCAAGGATAAGTTCATGCTCTAGAATTTGAGTTCTCTTGGACCGTTGGGACACTCTAGTTGTCCGCCTTTCCGCTGAAGGTTCACTCTGGTCCAACTTTAGTAATCGCTCCCTCGGGGATACTCTGTCTTCTATTTCAAGTAGGACAGCTCTACTCTCGATTATATATAGACGGAAATTGCGAATAGCAATTTCCCACTCGTTTTTACTTTCTAACTTTCCCGCAATTGCTCTAAAATTGTTCTGATTTCTTTTTCTGATTTTCAGTTGTCGCGAGAAAATCGTGCATGACATGTTCCATTCGAATTTTTGAAAAATAAAATTTCTCTCCAAAATCAAGTATTTTCTGCTCTTCTCAAGGTCAAACTTCCAAATATGACCGACTGGCACATAGGTCGAGACGGTGAAAAACGAGTAGGATTAAGGTAATTGACGCCTGCCAGTCGTTAATAGGTACTTTTTCTACGCTCCGTCGCTGTGTTATATTCGGGCGAATGTTACAGTATTTTGGTAGTGGCTTTTAAGCTGTAACGGGTTTTTAGTCTCATGTCGCAAGTGAACCGAATTGGCTCCGACCGTTCGAGTTCGAAAAACACAAGAGATAGTGTCCCTGACTCTTGAGCCAATGGTTATAGGGCCTATTTTTCTTTAACCTCATATGTGACTTAAGTAGGCGACTGATACAATATGCACCAAAACTGAAGAGATTGCAGGACACAGCTAGCTTTACTTTAAGTTCACTTTTTTGGTTCTACACTAGTCGACAAAATGAATTGCAAATTTTCCCTTTTACTCGCTAAAATTTTCATTATTTTTTTTTTGGAGAACACATTTCTAAAAATTGGTCATCGACCACTGCAAATGATGAAAACTGCCCGCTCTGAAAGTTTCAGTTTTGTTTTTGATCTCTTATTAGTTCCTAAAATGCCACTTTCTTCTATTAGTGAAATTTTTCGTTTTTGTAGAGTGAACACTTTTCGAATAAGCGGAAGTAGGAGCATTTGATCATGCGATGTGAAACAATTTAAACGAGTATATTGCGTTGTTCAGTGTGATAACTTTCCTCACTTCTCACACCGTTGGAAAAAAAAAATTCAAATGGTAGAAACTGGCATTTTAGGACCCGGAAAATGGTAAATTCTTTAAATCAAAAATTGAGGCTTTCAGAGACGGTAGTTTAGATCATTTGCTGTCGGTCGATGCAAATTTTTCATTGTGTTTTGTCCTCTTGTGTAGAATTTCAATTAAGTGAGATTATTGATTGTAACAGTTTGTAACAATAAGCGTGCTCTGATTCTTGCAACGGCGTGAAGCCTTTTGTCTACTGTTGAATGGTTTTGGAAACATGACAAATGTTTTTTTTTGAAATGATTTGAAATTCTTGTGAAATAGTTTACTCGATAAGTATAAAGATGAATTGTTGGATGTTGTTATGTTATTGTTACCAATTCGTGAGGTACAGTTGCTTAAATGGGACATCGCTTAAACTGAACATACACTGGACAAAATTGAGCGTTAAATTAGAAGAAGAAGAAAGAACACTTGAATTACTATACAATAAAGAGCCGAGGCATCAGTGTAGCAAAGTGTAAATAATAAAATTGGTTATAAATTCATTGGTTACATCAAACAAAAACAAAACATCAGAAAACAAGCAATAAACAAAACAAAAAAAACAAAATCGGTTACAGTTCGGAAATTGGTTGATTAAAGTATATGAAGTTTCGGATACTATAGAAAAATAAAGATTTAAGAATTAGGAACAAGCTGGTAATAAAACTTTACAAACAATTTTACAGATAGTCCAATTATACAGCGTATATACAGAGTATATACAGTTTCTCTTTCAAGCAATGTGTGAAAAACTAAACTGAATTAAAACATATAGAACTAGCAAAAACGGAAATCACGCCACGTATTTGTATTAGTACATATAGGATTGTTTCTCAATTCACTCACGTAAAATTCTTTCAATTTTTTCTTGAATTCTGTTTTCGATTTTTCTAAATTGCGCAAAATTATGGGCAGTGAATTCCATTTTTTAGAAGTCAAATGAAAAAATGATTTTTGTAGAGAAGCAGTCGAACAATGTTTGTCAAAAATAGTTTGTTTCGTTCTTTCGTTGAGCCTATAATTGGCAGTCGGTAGTCTCAGTGTATTTTCGAAAGCCTTCTTTTTGTTTGTAAGATATTGGTATAAGTATGTTATACACTTTAACTCAATTCTTTTCTCGATTCCAATGAACGATTTGCTAATGCGAAGAAGGGAAGAAGATTTAAATTTCGATCTGAAATATGTTCTTTTTAGCGCCCAGTTCAACTGTTTCTCCAGAGATAGCATCAAAGTAGCATTAATTTGTTGTAAAAAAATTGCTGAATAATCTAAATGTGATAAAACAAGACAATGAAGCAAGGCAACTAATGATAATGTCGGCAGTTGTTGTCCAATTGTATCAATAGTTTTAATCCCTTGGGCCATTTTTTGGAGAATTGTTTTGATTTGAGCATGAAAAGATAAACTTGAATCAAGAATTATGCCTAAATATTTGCATTCTGATTTTTTGGCTACATAATGCCCACTAATTACTAGTTTATCAGTATCCACATTTTTGCTATCATTTTTTTGACAAAATGTTATAAATTCCGATTTAGATGCATTCAGGTTCAATTGGTTCTCTGCAAAAAATTCCGTTAGATTATTGAGTGATTTTTGCAATCGAGTCAAAGCATCCTCAGAAATTATAGAAGAGGAAAAAACCATACAGTCGTCAGCATATTGAACTAAAGTACAACCTTCATATAATCGCTCTTGTATGTCATTAACATATAAATTGAACAACAACGGACCAAGTACCGTTCCTTGTGGGACACCTCGTTTTATTTCAATCCAGTCTGAAAAAATTCCATTGACGTTTACTCTTTGAATACGTTTGTTTAGGAAGCTAGCAATTAAAGCATTTGCTCCATTTGAAAAACCGAGAGAAAGCATTTTTTCAATTAAAACTTCATGCGAAATAGAATCAAAAGCCTTGGACAGATCTAATAAAGCTGCATGTACGATTTTTTTTGAATCTATTTGATTTCGAATACTTTCTGTCACATAAACAAGAGCATCTTGTGTTGAAATGTTTTTGCGAAATCCGAATTGAAATGGTGTCATTATCTGAAATTTGTCAAGATGTTCTGTTATTTGGGCATGTAAAATTTTTTCAAAAATTTTAGAAAAAGCACAAGTTATTGATATTGGCCGATAATTTTTTGCATCCATTGGGTCATCTTTTTTAAACAAAGGGGTTACGTTTGCTTTTTTCAGTTCGATCGGGAAAATGTTCTCATCTAAGCAAGTATTTATGACAAAAGTTAAATGTGGAACTATAACTGATTGACCGTCAATGATTGCCCAAGCAGGTACGGTACAAGGTTTTGTATTTCTATTAAGGTTTTGTATTTCTAAAATGTCTGTTTTTAAGGTTCATTTTGAGCAACATTTACTTCGAATTTCAGCACTTCGATTTATTAGGTAATCCAAGAGCAAATGATCAGAGCTACCTCTATGAAACAACCAATGTTAGGTTTCAAAAACCTAAGTTTTGCATCGGACTTCTTACACGTAGTAAAAAAAAAGTCGTTCATACGGCGTGAAACATTCTCAACGAGAATTATGATTTAATCAATGTGAAGATTTTAAACTCGGCTGTTTCTTACAAATTTCGAAGTAAACGTTGTCCAAAATGGACTTGAAAATAGGCATTTTAGAGAGAAAAAACCCTTTTGCTGAAGTTTGTCTAAATGGTAATCGATACCGAAAAAACACTTTTGAAGTTGTAATCATTACTGAAACGACTTGTATATGATATCGCAATCAGTCTCGCGACCTAGGTAAAAATTGACTCTATCTAGGTGATAATTCCTTCGCTAATTTTTTCTAGACAAAGTCATGAAAAGTTGCTGATGATTTTGCCTCAAAAGGGCATCAGTTTCAGCAGCGCGCAAATTTGCGTAAATGTTGGTTGGGGCCAATTTTTGAATTGTTGGCTTTAATGTCATGGCTGTTGTTGAATGAATAAATATACTTTCTGATAATGGAACTGCGCGAAACGGGAATAAAACCAGATCTATTCAGAGATAAAGAACTTGAATTAGAACGAGCGCAAACACGCAACGATGGTTTGATCTATTACCCGATTTATGCAAACTCAACCGAGTTGACCCGAGCTGGTAGCACAGCAAATGAAGACTCAATAAGTAATGCTGACGGCTCCATTCTTAGCTCTTATAGTCGTGGGCGGGATTTATATACGGTCAAAATAGGAATCAAACCCGCGTGCGATTATGAACTGATTTCCGATATTGGAGAGGCAAAGCAGAAATTATTATTCAACCTCATAGAATCATTTTCTTCATTAAACTGCGTGGGTAGTGTACAGTTTATTAACTCATCTTTCCAAAGCCTTCCTGTTGCAGGGGAAACACACACAAAAGATACAGCCCCGAGCACTACATCCGTTTTACAACGCAAAGACTATACATTGATAGGAGATTTAGAATCCTCCTTCACTGCCTCCGTTGTTCATTTTGTCCTTCAATTTCAAGAGCCCAACAACGAAAGCGGAGAGTTTTCAGAGCCAAATAATTACTTATCTTCTGCCCCGCATTTCCGATTAGAAATGGACTGTTCTCCTCTTATTGACGAAGCAGCCGAAGCGTCCGGCTTCACGGCCACAATGGCCGAGTCTCCTAAATCGGTGAAAAAGTTGAGCTTCGAAATCAACGGAATGAATTGCAAGAAATGCGTGAACAAAATCATTTCAGCTACTCAAAGCATGAAAGGTGTTCAGTCGGTAAAGATCAACCTGAACGAAAAATGCGGCTCGTTTTTTGTCAGTCCAGATATATCTGAGGACGAAATAATCAATGCCTTACGAATTTTGGATTTCGAAGTTAAGTCTTTGGAGCCGGTCGGTAACTTCAAACTGGCGACAATCCATCTAGCAGTTATTGGGATGAAGTGTGGAAAGTGTGAAAGAAAAGTGGCATTGGCGTTGTCTGCTCTACCCGGGCTAACTAGAGTAGAAGTGTCGCAGCCTAACTCAAGTGCTTCAGTCTCGTTCGATGCAACAAGCCTTGACGATAAAGAAATTGTGCAAGTTGTCACCCACCTCGGATATACAGCTGAGCTTCTCAAGCCATTCGCGGTGGGCCATTTTAATTATAAACCAATCTTATGCATAGTTATTCATCTGATTGTTTTGCGCGTGCAATCAAGTGAGATTATAAAGTTATTCCAGATAAACGATGGGATTTTTTCAAAAACATCGTATTTTTTTGCACATCACATCAGGCTGAGATCAGAGTAAAAGCGAGAGCAAAACTGCAATAAATGAGATGAATTCCGGTAAAATGACATGCCTCATTATATTTTGCATCAAATTTGATTTCAGTTAAAGTCAATTTGTCAAAGAATGGAGAATAACAAACAAAAAAAATCAGTTCACGTTTACAAGTGCAAACGAACACTAGGCATTTAATCCCGCTGAAAACTTAGGTCACAAAAGTCCAATAGTAATTGTGTTGGAAAATGGCTGGATCATACCTGCTTGCAATTTTTATACGCCTCAACTTATCAAGTTTGCTTATACTTACTACCAGGTATAAAAATCTAGAGGATAGACTGAGGGCATATTCAATGCCCAATGAAAACCCGGGGCCTACTTAACGAAAATAAATGATAACGTAATAATTAACAAAATATATTATAGCACTTCCAGTTCAATGAAATCTGTGTACTTAATGTCATTGTCCCAAAAAGCATGAGTGAGATGTCACGCTTTACAGATGCCAGGGAAAAAAAATTTGAAAAGTTTCTGTCAAATAATAAACTCGTCAATATTTCGACCACAAGCAACACTTTGAGGGCTCACATTTTTTGGCTTGATTCCCGGCCTAGTAAGAGTAATGAAAGTAGTGAGTAATCTTATAGAGGTCTTGGTGATTTTTTTATTGTTTCACTAATTCAAGGAGCTTTAAGCCCATCTATTTTTTTCTTCGAAATTCAAAGGTTGAAGTTGTTTTAAAAAGCAAGTCAGTTTTTTTTTCTGTTTCTTTGCGTTCATGGCTCTTTTGCAACTGTCAGTTGGCTATGTTATTGCTCTTCTGATAACATTTAATCAGATGTCTTTAGAGAAAAAAGACAATTTTCTTTAGAGAAAAAAAGTGAAAAAGTTTCATAAAATCATAAATTGTCATTATCTCGAAAACTAGCATATTTTAGGTCAAGTTACTGGGCTAGATCCTCAAACAAATGTTGGTCTGATAGTTTTTCATTGAAAAAAAACCTGAATTTTAATAAAAATTACAAACATGATTTCTCAAACTAGCGAAGTTTAAGTTGTCAAAGTTTGGAGCGAGGTTTCCACCTTTTAATGGGGTCTGATAGCATCCATTAGCGGGGATTGGTTTGCAAAGAAAAACAAATTTTCAAGATAAATCGGCCAAGATGAATCTTTCTTATAATAGTTGTTTTCAGTTTGAGAAAAAAAATGGACACTTAATTTTTTGCGCATGGACCCAAGATTTGGTGTTCACACCAAAGTTTTCTTGAGGTTTTCACCCAGCATGAGCCCCTATTCCGCAGTGAATATGACTTTTGATTATTTCCGCCGAAAGCTTATCGCTACAGCAATCTGTTTGATTTCTTGCTTGTGGATTTTCTACATGGTGCCTAAAAAGTTTGTTCGTTGTAAGCCCTGTAAGAATCAATACAACATTTCAGATAATCTTATACCTTAAGATCTTGGACAGTCAATTTTTTTTTTCAAAATTGTCTCCAGAAACAATATCTTTTTGCGTTTTAAATGAGTCATATGTATTCGCTTCCCAAAAAAGTATCTTCTAAAAATTTTAACTGCAGCTTTTACAAAACATCTGTTCTGCTTTTGTATCAAAAAAGGCACAATGGATTGTCAAAAGATTTTTTAAAATGTGAAAAGACTGTTTTTCAAAAATCTGTGTAAAAGATTTAAGTTTGTCAAAAGCCTTTTGTGCAATAGTCTGTTTGTAAAAAGGCTGTTTGGCGAAAGGCTTTGTCAAAAGTTGTTAAAAGAATATACAAACTCACAAATGACAAAGTTATCTGTAGTTTTATCTATCAGAATGAACCAAAACGAAGAGTATACGATAGGGTCTGAAAATGATGTGCTACCTGCAATGGTAAATGAATTTATTACATCACTTTTCAGTTCATACAGTTTTACTTTTGACGCTTGATCTTATTGCTCAAATAAAAATAGTGCACTACGCCAAAATGCGCCGCGTAATTTTTATATGTAGAAGCCCAAATCAGAAGTATCAATTCTTAAGGAACCCCGAAGTGATGGTCGATAGATGATGATAGTAATTTTTGTTTTAGGCACATGATGAAGGCAAAGCTGAAGACTCTGAAGATTCATTCTTAGCCAGTGCTTCTATGAGTGGAGATACATTTCCTACAAACGTACCTCCGCCAGCAATGTGGAAGAGATGTGTAGTTTCTGTTGCAGAAATATCTTTTGGGAATCAAAACGAGATAAAAAAGGCTATTGGAGAAGCCTTGAGACAGAAAAAGGGTGTCGACTTTTTCAAAATTGACACGGATTCCAAAAGCATTGAAGTAGTCTTCGATGGAAACCAAATCAAGTGTGCCCGATGTATATGCAAAGCCGTATCTGACACAGGGTACAAAGCAGAAGTGAAAGAAGCAGCTCAAGTGGTTGAAAGTTACAAGCCGGTGACCAGTGAGTTGATCCTAGCTGGATCTCCAGGAGCTGTAGGTGATGTAAGAGTGGGAGAATCCCTGACGTTCGCAGGTGGAGACTCCTGTAGAAACATGGTCAAAGATGTGAAGATACGGCGGCCGAGTAAGACTACTTTGGATGACGGAGACGTGATTGCAGCAGCTCAGTTTGAAAGAGTTTTGTTCATTTCCGGAATGACCTGCCACTCTTGTGTCACTGCCATAGAAAGCAAAGCGAAGTCACTACCAGGAATAACTAGCGCTAAGGTCAGCCTAATGGAAGAGAAGGGATACTTTGTGTACAACTCAGAAAGTACTAAATTGAATTCTATAATAGAGTGCATCAAAGAACTAGGATTTGACGTTTCCCAGCAGCCGTTTCCTCAAAGTACAAATGATGCGAAATCCGAAAAGGAGAAGAAATCTAAGGTGAAGCAAAATGACGCTAAAAACGAGCAGCAGATTGTAATTGAAGACATGGAAGGATCTTCGGGCTTCGTAAGCGTCACAATAGCCATAAAAGGAATGTCTTGCTCGAGTTGCGTCGCCAAAATCGAAGGGGATATTCAAAAATTGGATGGAGTGAAAAGTGTTTCGGTGTCACTCATAGGAGAAAAAGGTGCGATCGTTTTTGATCCAGTCATGATATCAGTTGATGGAATTGTTACTGTGGTTAAGGCTCTGGGCTATGATTGCCAAATATTAGAAACCAGATCAGGCCAGAAGTCCATGAGCTCCATTGAGTTCTATGTCAATGGCCATGTAAACGAAGCAAGTTGGAAAGAACTGCAAGATCAGCTGCTGAACATGGAAGGTGTCGAGAAGTGTCTAATAGACACGGCGTTGTCAGCTATCAATGTTACATATCAAAATGATAAAACCAGTGCCCGAAGGATCCTCGAACGGATTAACTCGCTGGGCTACTCGGCTCATCTCAAGAAACAAAAAGACTCCTTCGATCACTCCGGTACAATTTACAAATGGAGAAGGTCTTTCTTCCTCTCTCTCCTCTTTGCAATTCCAACTATGGCAATAATGTTCTCAATGAACTTTGTGATGATAGACTTCATGATCATGCCTGGTCTGTCACTAATGAACCTGCTGATGTTTCTCTTTGCTGTTCCGGTTCAATTTTACGCTGGAATGCCAATATACCAAACCGCCTGGAGTGCGTTGAGACATCGAACTACTAACATGGACGTGTTAATCGCACTTGCCACATGGGTTTCATTCATATACTCGTGCGTCATTGTGTTTTTCGCTATGGCACTGAGTCTTCCCGCCAGTCCCATGACTTTTTTCGAGTCCTCTGCGATGTTGATGACATTTGTGTCTCTCGGGCGGTGGCTGGAGTCCATAGCGAGAGGCAAGACCTCGGACGCCTTGTCAAAACTTATTTCGCTGCAGCCTCTGGAAGCGGTTGTGGTGAAACGAGCGGAAGACGGAACGGTGTCCAATGAAGTTGCGATGGAGGTTGAGCTAGTGGAGAAAAATGACATCTTGAAAGTAGTGCCAGGTGAGGTTGCCTTGCTGATCAGTCTTTAGCGTTCTTGATATTGGTTCGCATTGAGTAAAAAGTGCCACTAGCGAGACCTTATCTTTAGAAAGGACACTTTTAAAACCAGTTGAGGCCCCACTAGAAATTTTTGAAAAGTTATTAACAGTCGATGAACGTAGTGAATACTTATATAGGTCTTGGTGGTTTTAGTTCGTTTTTTTCCGGAAATTTTTTTCTTGCTCAAATTTGATTTTGCGCGGTTTGACTTATGATTTATTTTTAAGTTCAGTTCAATTCTTTTGTTGGAAGGATAGAAAACTCCACTATCGAACAGCAAAAGTGTACAGGTCACGAAAAACGTGATCGACTTCAAGTTTCTTTTAAGTTTTCAGGTTTCCCACCAGAATGAAAATTTTTTATCCAATGATTTAGTTTTCTCAAATTGGGTTAATTTACAAAAACGTGGCACTCATAATTTTTTGTTGAAATTCAAAGAAATTCAAAAAGTAAGTCATTTTTCTGTTTCCTTGCGTTCATTGACCGTTTTTCAACTGTCTGTCTGCAATGTCTTAAATAGCATACCTATTTCATTTCTAATTGCCCCAAAAATAAATAGTTGCTGTTTTTCGAAAAACTATTATGCACCATATTACTTTTTAATTCAGTATTTTTTGGTTCGGCGAAACGTCTGCATAAAAGTGCGAAAATGCACAATGGTCTGCTTGTATTATAAGGTGCCAAAGTTCCAGTGGATGGGGTTTTGATTGATGGAAGCTCCTCTGTGGACGAATCCATGGTCACGGGGGAACCGATGCCAGTAAGCAAAAAGCCAGGCAGCAGAGTGATCGGAAGCACGGTGAACCAACATGGCTGCTTCCTCATGCAAGCCACGCACGTGGGATCGGAGACGACCCTGAACCAAATTGTGAAGCTGATTGAAGAAGCGCAGACATCAAAGGCGCCCATTCAGAGAAGAGCAGACATTCTGGCTGGGTACTTTGTGCCGATAGTTGTGATACTCTCCTGCTCCACGCTCATTTTCTGGATTGTGTACGGCTTCATGAGTGACTTCCACGCCTCCATGGGCAAAATGGGAGACGGGGACAAGGAGGGGACGACTAAGCAGGTTTTCGGCCAGACGGAGCACGTGATCGAGTTCGCTTTCAGATGTGCGATATCGGTGTTGTCTATTGCATGCCCGTGTGCCTTGGGTCTAGCAACACCAACAGCTGTCATGGTAAATGAAACTCAAATCCAAAGAAATGAAAGAATTTCCATTGCAGTTCTCTCCAGTAATTGAACAATTAGTGCTTACATAGTTCTTAAATATTTCTATGGGTTTCTTCAGCGGCAATAAATTAGTTACTCAAACGCATTCAAAAAATACCTCACAGTTAATGTAATGCAAGTAAGCGTGGCTTATGCATTCGCGCATATATTAAATTCCTTAAATTTTGGAAAGACGATTTAAAAACTTAAAACTGGGCAGGTTGTCCATTCATGTTTTTAATAACTCGTCTATGGCATTGTTTTTTCACTCGAAAGTACGAAGGAGGTTGAAAACAAGTGTGAAACAGGTTGGAACTGGAGTGGGAGCTCTGAATGGAATCCTGATCAAAGGCGGTGAACCCCTGGAAACTATGAAAAACCTGAAGCGCATCTGCTTTGACAAGACAGGCACAATCACAGTAGGCACACCCAAGGTCACTTCTGTCAAAATAGTCCACTCCTCGAAAGAGCACAGAGTGAATTTTACGGCGAAGAGTCTGATGGCTTTAGTGGCTAGTTTAGAGAGCAATAGTGAACACATTCTGGCCAAAAGTATCGTGGACTATGGCAAGAAGCTGCTGAATGTCGACAGTCTGGCAGCAGTTGAAAGTTTCAAGGTCAGTATCTAGATCATGTATTGTAATGTAGTTTTTGATCTTTATCATGTATTCAATCTTCATTTTTAGAAAGTTTGAATAGTTTAATAGAAACAATATTCAAGTAGAAGGTCAAAGTTCTTATTTGTAGCAATTTAGTCTCATGGGTGAAGGAGCGAAACCATTTGTATGAAGCAAATTTAGCGCGTCAAATGAATCGAGAAGCAGTTTAAAGTTAATTTTTGCGCAGAGTGCAGCCATATCGATGCAAATGTGCAATGCGAATAGCTCAAAAATTTATTGAATCAAGGAACAAATTAGTTCAATCATATTTTGATCCATTTGTTCAGTAATGCTGGTATCAAAATATATATTAAGGTTATCTGCCGGATTTTATTGATAATATGCCAATGAACGATGTCTGGTTAAAACGTGTAAAAGTAATTGTAAAATGTTTTGAAGTGTATTTTTTTGATCAAATAAGCAATCAAGAAGTCTTGTATCAGGGTAAAGCCCTGAATATTCTGACTGCCTTGCAAGCTCTATGGAGTAGTGTTCGCTTAATTATCACGAAATATATAGCGTGTTAATTATTCGAAATTGCAACTTTTAAACCCCAATAACTTTTTAAATTTGATCTGAAGACAAAACTTTTCGACTGATTACGCCCGCGATTACCAAGCGTTATCAAATTGGAATATACCCTTTGGAATATTGGAATATAATGGCTCAAATTGGAATATATTGGCTCAAATTGGAATATACTCTTTTTTCGTGTTCACAGCTAATTAACAAAAACAGTTAAATCACTTATTAACAGCAATGAACGTAGTGAAGACTCTTATATAGGTCTTGCTGTTTTTTTGTTTTTTTTCATTAGAAAGTTAAAATTTGTTCACGCTCAATTTTGATTTTTCGCGGTTTGACTTGTGATTTGATTTTAAGCTCAGTGCATTTCTATTGTTAAAAGGAAGGTAAAATCCACTCTTTTTATTACTAATTGATCCAGTTTTCTCAGATTAGGTTTATTTTAACAAAAAGTGTCCATCGTAAATTGTTCTACAAATTCAAAGAGACTTAAGACCATCGATTTTTTTTCGAAATTGTAAAATTTTTGAAAAAACAAGTCGATTTTTTTTTCCATTTTTCTTGCGTTCATTACTCTTTTACAATTCTCAGTTGGCTATGTTTTCATTTGACAGACGAATAAAGTTTTCTTTGTGTGTGTGTGTGTGTGTGTGTGTGTGTGTGTTGAGGGTGAGGGGGACTTAATAAATTTTTAAAAGTCCTCATGAATTTTTTTTAGCTTAAAGGGTTTTCTCTAAGGTGTTTTCGGCTTTGGTACCGCTAGGTAAATTTTCGCTCGGTGCGAATTTTTACTTTGTATTGTGTTAGTTTTTTTTTCAAAACTAGCCGTATTCATGCTGATAGATATAGTTTTTTTCGACTTAGCTGCTTTCTTGTTTAGTATCGCAAATGTGCGGAGCTCAGCTTGGCCTCTGTGTTTAAAATGCTCTTTAGTGTCTAAGGTGAACTCATCAACGAGTTTCTATTGGAAGGGTTCAGTTTTTAAATGGTTGGTTTTGGTACTTCTTGTAAAAAATGTTAGCCATGAAAGTTGTGGTCTTTCATCTGTGTTCAAAAAATGTCTTTCATCTGTGTATTAAAATAAGGTTGTTGATATTCAGGCTGCACCTGGCTACGGAATCAGTGGTGTGGTGAAGAACCCCTACTCCATCCTGAGAGAGAGCAGACGATCGACAGGGGCAGGGGGCAAGGAGACGAGTGCGGTGGAGGCGGACACCCTGTGCAATGAGTCATCAGACTACGGCAGTGGATTGTCCAATTCGCACGGCGGAGACGCTGGTCATAACGGTCGGTAGTTTTCAGTTAATTACTGCATAATTTACAATGAACGTCAGAAAGAAATCAAAATGAAAAAAAAAAATGTATTTTTAATTAAAAAAGTGGAAATGAATTATTATATGAGCAAGAACTTCAAGGAATGTTGTAATGCGAAATCAGCACTAAGACAATTTAACATCAGGGAATCGAAAAATATCTGATGTACCCCAAGTTAAGCTCTACATGCGTTTCTTGGATATTCATGATGGGCATCGATCCTTCGAACTTTCGACTGAGGAGCGGAAAAATTAGCCAATTCACTACAGCTCTCCTTTAGATAATGTCATTATTCATAGTATTATGTAAGAACAGAGCAGAATCAGTTACAGCTGCACTCGATTTCGGATAAATATATATCAAAAAATGTTTCCGCCTTTTGTTACGTTTTAGCTGATGATATAAATGATTAAACGAAAATGAAGGAAGAGAAGGCCTTTATTTATGTTTTTTTTTTATTAGGAAAAGTGCCTGAGTTTGTTCGCGCTCACTTTTGATCTTTCGCAGTTTGACTTTTGATTTTTTTAAGTTAAATTCAAATAAATTTGCCGAAAAGAAGGCGAATTATTCTCTCCTATTTGAAAGTGAAAATGGCGCGAAAACTGCGATTGATTTCTAGGTTCGATTGTAGATTTTAATTTAAAGTTTCCCAGCGGAATAACAAAATAAGCAAACGACTGTCCGAGGTTTCTACGAGATAAGTTTCAAGAAAACACTTTCAATCTTGAAATATTCTTGAAGTTTGAAAAACTTCAAGTTATGTATGTTTCCTTGAGTATATTGTCACTTTTCCAACGTTCTGTTTTGTTGGGCTATAATATTAGTTGTTTATGCGTGGTGATTTTAGGCATCAAACCCGACCAGAACTATAGAGTGCTTGTGGGTAACCAGAAGTGGATGAGAGAGAACGACCTATTTGTGAGTGACCATCTTAGCCAGATAGTCGAGAAGTATGAGTGCAGACAAGAGACAGCTGTTCTGGTGGCAGTGGACAGCCAAATCACAGCTGTCATCTCAATATCAGACCCCATTAAGCCAGAAGCGAGGACAGCTGTTATGGCTCTGAAGAAAATGGGAGTTGATGTGTACCTGCTGTCAGGAGACAACAGACGAACTGTTGAATCAGTGGCAGAAGCGGTCGGAATAGGGAAGAAATGTTTCAGCGAAGTGTTGCCGTCGCATAAGCTGAAGAAAATTGAACATCTCCAGAAAGGTGTTGGGTATAGGATGTATGTCGGAATGGTCGGAGATGGCATCAATGATTCTCCGGCTCTTGCCAAAGCGGATATTGGAATTGCGATTGGGAGTGGTACCGATGTTGCGATGGAAAGCGCGTCTGTCATTCTGATTAGAAACGACTTGACTGACGTTGCGACCGCAATCGACCTCTCCCGTACTACCGTGAACCGAATCTACCTCAACTTTGTCCTCGCGATGGTGTATAACATGGTGGGAATTCCGATCGCAGGCGGAGCTCTGGTCCATTTTGGAATCGTCTTGAAACCGTGGATGGCGTCGGGAGCTATGGCGATGTCTTCAGTGTGCGTCGTGTGCTCGTCTTTGATGCTGAAAGTGTACAGGAAGCCGGATTTCTCCGGAAGCGCCGGTGGCGGATCAGATGAGAAGACTGTGCATGGAAATGGAGTGTTCAGATATGCTTCCAAGAGCAGTATGATCCAATACATTTCATCAAATGAAAGTGAGCAGCGGTTGTTGGCCACTGATGACGTTGACAATGACTCTGATATGCTGTAGATAGTTCTCACTTCTCCCTTTGGATGCTTTTGGAAACCATCCTATGCTTGGTTGGATTAGCTTTAAGTGAGCCAAGATAGACTCCTCTGTGAATGATGCATGTTTATGTGACTACTTCTGCTTGAGAAAGGCTGGAATCCTTAATAATGAACAACTTAATTTACATTTTATGTTGGCCTCTGTCGGTGCTGATTTTTGAAAAAAGACATGAGCTGCAATTTCAGGATTTCAAAAATGATTGGAACTTCTTCCTATTTGGCTAATATTTGAATATCAAATCAGCACTAACTAATATATATAAATGAATTTCAAATGCTTGAATCTAAAACAGTAGTTTAGCTATAATTTTGTCATGCTTTTTTGAGTCGCTGTTCCTGTGAGAGATTTTGTTATTTAGAGCAGATTCAAGAGAATAAAATGATCAAACAAAGAAGTGGTCGTTCTGAAAGCTACAAAAATTCAAATTCTTTATGGAAACTGCACTCAAATATTGTTCCATTTTCCTGCATTAGATGTTTTTATACCCAGTTGTAATTCAATTTGAATTGTTTTTTTTTTCAGAAGTTCACTTCAACTGGAACGTTCTAGAGGAGGAAGGGACCAAAAAACTATAGTATAGATAAACAACAAACTTTTAAATTCTCCTAACTATCATATTCCCCTTGAAAAATTTTATAACTAATTTTTTCCCCAAATTAGTTTTATGCTCGAAAAAAGGTTATTTTCCACCAGCTAATATTCATGATATGAGCACTTAATCTTATATCGCGTATTGCTGCTTACACCAGTAACTTTGCGAACGGAGTGTTCTATCAGGAATATATTTTTTCTGGTGGCTCAAGTCGCTAATAAATAGGCTCATTTGGGGGCATTTTTGCTATGTATCATTGGCATTTTATACCCTCTGCTTTATTGGCGGCTACTGTTTATCTATGGTCAAGCGACCGTGGAGCAGATGCAAGGAAGGGAGACACTTAATCTGCAAGTCGGCGGTTTATTCCGTCACAAATCTTTTCAAGCCTTGTTTTAATCTCTTTTAAGTAATGAGAGTTGAGAAACAAAGTGAAGACTCTTATATTGGAAGTGAGGATTTTTTTTCAGGAAAACTCTAAAATTTTGTTCACGCTCAAATTTAATTTTCGGTGGGTTAACTTCTGATCTATTAAATCCTTTTGTTAAAAGGGAAGTTAACTTCTTTATCGAACATCGAACTAAAAAGTTTTTCTTATTTCGAAAGTGGAGAAAAATACAATTAAATTTGAGATTTTTTTGCTATGAAAACTTGTATTTAGATTTTATTTTAAAAAATGTGAATCATAAATTGTTCTTGAATTTTGAATAGATTTAAGGGCAATTGTCTTTGGGCTTTTTTTTCGTTTTAACCGTTTCAGAGCGACTCTGCTGTTTGCTCAAGTCGCGCCTTTTCACACAGGGAAGCACCTTTTAGTTCTAAAAAAACTTGAAATAGATTTTTCGGTTTTCCAGCGTTGCCATGTTTTTATTAGCTCCTTTTTGCCATGTTTTGATGGTATTTGTTTACTACAGTTTCATTTTTGTATTTGTTTCTGTTACAAAAGGTTTCCGACAAGTATTGAGGAGTAAGTTTGAAATTTTACCGAAGGATTTGGAGACACGCTTTCGTTTTTGTTTCCAGAAAATCCTTAAATCAATAAAATTCGCGCTCAAAATTTTTATGTTATTGGCACGACTGTTGAATCTTGCTTGTACCTAAGCAGATCACTCTGGTTTAAATGAATGACTGTTTTAAGAATTCCAAGATGGTAGCTCGAGCGCAGGAATACATAATTTTCAAAATTCATGCACAGATTTATGAAAAGGAAACATTTTGGGGGTCACTCAATTTTTTATTAGTCTGTCCCTTCACTCAGTTGTTTTCTTTATCTAAAACTTTTTTGATAACGATTTCAAACCACAAGTTCAAATATATGTTTTTCGCGGCTTCCGAAATGATTGTGTCTGACAGTAGAAGTTAAAATAAGTACTTCACTCCCTGCATCATTAAGAGTAAGGAACGTAATGAGTACTCTTGTATAGGTCTTGGTGATTTTGTTAAGTTTTTTTTCAGGAAAAAGTCTAAAGTTTTTGTTAACGCTCAATTTTAATTTTTTGCTGTTTGACTGACTTTTTCAGGAAAAAATCTAAATTTGTTCACGCTCAATTTTGATTTTCGTGGTTTGACTACTGAATCTCTAAGTTGAAAGCATTTCCATTGTTAAAAAGAAGGCAAACTCCCTTATGGAACAGGAAAAGTGTTGAGGTCACGAAAACGTGATTGACTTCTGATTTCGAAAATGGAAATTAGTTATCAGATTACCCAGCGATATAAAAGTTTCACCTATTGATCCAGTTTTTTTCAAAATGAGTTAATTTTAACAAAAAAAGTCCATCAATAAATTTCCTACAAATTCACGCAGCTCTAAGACCATCTGTTTTTTTTTTCGAAAGTCAAATTTGAAGGTTTTTGAAACAAAATAAGTTAATTTTTTATTTCAGTTTTCTTGCGTTCGTTACCCTTCTCCAACTGTCATTTGGCTATGTTTTTGCAAACCAAATTATAAAAAAAGAAAGGGGTGTAGCGAGGTTTCTGAAGTCTATCCTAAGTTTGAGAATTGTGCTGGACTACTTCGAGTCATCTGAGCCTGTGGAATTTCGTGTTGTTTTGTTCTACGTCATGATATTGAAAAGGTATTACTAACGAGCGTGATTGACTTTTTGTTCCGAAATTGGATTTTGATTTGCTGTTTTCCTTGCGGACTAAACAACTGACCTGTTGAATTAATTGGATTAGTTTTAATCCAAAAAATTATTATCAAAAATGTTTTTAAAGTGATATTTTATTCTTAAAACCTCAAGCTTGAACATCTTTCCAAAAAAAGTTGCTCATTTTTCCCCGTCTCCTTGAAAGGATTGAAATGTTTCCAACTGTCTGTTGGCTGTTTTTTCTTGCGAGATTGTGAGCGTTAGTGTATTAAAAGTGTTCATTGAAAGTATTCACTTATATGGAACTTTCACTGTATTGTAGCAATGGAAATCAGCATCTGTTTTCTTGGAAATAGCATCTGTTCTCTGCTTTTTTGTGGCTAGTGTTTGTCACTAATTAAGCGTCCGTGGCTGAGTGGTTATTGCGTGAGACTAATAAATTCAAGGTCGTAGTTTCGAATTCGAGACGTAGCCGAATTTTACTAATTCGAGGCTTTTTTATTTTTTTTTTGCTTTCATAGAGCTGCTTGTCCTGTTCTCGCTAGTGTTTGTGAAGCTCAGCTTCGTCTTTGTATGAATTTCTCCAGCAAGAAATGTAACCTATTGGGTCAGTTTTCTCTTTTCGCGCTAGTTAATCAAAAAATAACATCAAACATTTTTGTCTGTTGGGAAATTGTTGAAATTTTTTTTGTTTAGATTATAGTTTTTTTAAATAAAATTCTGAAAATGAATATGTACAAAATTTTAATCATTCTGTTTTAAAATCAAATTGATGAATGATATGAGTTATGAAGTATTTCTTAACGATTTTTTTGTACTGGCTTTAAAGATTTGCATTTGATCAAACAATTTAATGCATAACTGAACATTTTAAAGTGCCAAAATTTAGTTCAGATGTTTCAAAAAATTTTCGTTGCAGCTTACAGGCAACTTCAGAGTTTGATTTTTCTTTTAAAAAATTAGGCGTACCGAAATATGTTATCGGAAGGCTGGATGGCTTTGTTGCAGAGTTCCGCGTGTGATTTTTTGATAGTAAAAGTTTTCTGATTATGTGAAACGTGCTCCTTTGTTGAGCATCCAAATTCTAGGCTGATTTTCATTGAAGGGGGTGTTATCATAATTGCTAGAGCTATATCAGCCTTGTGATTTGTTGCTGAGTTTTGCATGTAATTTTTTGATATTTTTTTCTGATTATGCAAAACGTGCTCCTCCGACAATGGCCATTATTGAGCGAGATGGCATGCCAAAAGCATGTTTTTGAAGGTGAGCAGGTTGCCTAATTGCCCACTACAGAATCAAGTTAACTCAATAAGGCATTAAAATCCATGACATCATGGGATCACCGCTCAGAAAGTTTCGTGGCATAAACCGCTAAATGCGACTTTTGGAAAGTCCATTTTTCAGTGACGAGCTTTATAAACTACATCAATGGACTTGTTGAACACAACTTCCCTTCCTCCTCTCCCATCGACACAAGGTGATTGCAAACAACAGAAGTCTACCGGTTACTACATTTGAGATATATGTTGATCACTTTTAAGTCCAGTGGCTGCCGACACCTGAACTGCAAGAGCAATACAATTATGTCAATGGATCCCTAACAAATTAGCAACCAAAATGTTTGCTGAGAGAAACACTGGGTAATGCTACGTGTTACGTTGGCAGAAAAGGCCTCTGATGAACTGCTGGTGACATTTGAATCAAATCGCGCTTTCTCGATAAGCCTCAGCGATCAGATTGAATGTAAATTATCTAACAATAATCATAATAATAAGTTCCAAAAAAGACACCCTAATGTATTAACAACTGCCTGGGAGATCACCATTGGATCTACAGATCCGTTTTCAGGTGTCTCTGAGCGGAGAAATGAGCGACTATTTTACTCTACATAATCTGAGAACAACAATGTCTCATAAACAACTTTTAAATAAAAAAAATCATTAAAATGACTCGCTGAAATTAAACAGGTGTGTCAAAACAAAACGGAAAAAAGGCAACAGGAAAAAAAACGAAACAATTGAAAATAATTGAATATCAAAGATATTGTTTTAACTAGTTCTTCGTTGTCTATGGTGTAGCTTTCCAAAATAGAGTGGTTGAAACTGTTTACTTCGAAATGAGTTGCAATTGGTGTAAAGCTCAGCATAACACATAAATGAAGTTCTTTTAGGAGAATAGTTTGTTTTTAACTCAAGATCTGTTAATGACTGAACTTTCTGGATTCTGAACATGACTATGCATAAAAATTTTCTTTTGTTCTTGTTAATCATTTTTAATTTGTTTGTAGATCCTCACTACAAAATGTCGTGCTGAAAAGGTAATTGTGCAATAAGTTTATATAATTAGACTAGCTGTTTGGTTGAAAAAATTGTCAATCTGGAAAAAATTTCACAGCTTTTTGCGAGTTTTTATCTAATAGTTTTTGTGCTCTGCGAAGATCAAATTTTTGTCCTCGATCAATTTATGGAAACAAAAACTTTTCTAAAATCATTATTTAGTTTTTAAATTTCACTTGTGAAAATTTTGATGTTTTTGGAAGTACATTGTCTTATTTTGTCTAATGGTAAGCTTGTTATTATTTAACCTTTTTTCAGTTGTCCTTAACGCTTTTTGTTGGCGCTCCATTAATGCTATTTTAATCTGTAGTTGTGCTAATTGAAGTATCATCTGCATACAGAACAGTCTTCGAGTATTCTAAGTTGACTGCTATATTGCTTATAAAAGTTTATAAAAAGCAGCCTGAGAACCAATCCCTGTGAGACATGGAATGCAATACTTCTCAAACAAGACTTTGCTTGATTACTTTTTGAAAACTGCTTGT